CAAATCAGTAAAATATTTCAGCCAACATAAAGCACAAAAGGGACCCCAAGCCGAGCTCAAGAAAAGAGCCAACCGAGCCCAGCACAAGGGGCAAACCAAGGTCTAAGGAATAATCCCAACAGTAAAACATTTCAGCCCCCATAAATCGCCAAAAGGAGCCCAAACCGAGCCCAAGAACATGGCGAACCGAGCATACCAAATAAGTTAAGTAAAATGCAATTTCCAACATGTATTTTAGCAAGGGTGTATTTTAGCAAGGGGGAGTAATAGAGGATCATGAAATGAGTCTCAATCATGTCTTTTCCAATTCTCAAAACAATTTTCAGCATATATTTCATCAAGGAACAACATGAGAAACAATATATGAGCTCCACATACATTTTCTAGCTCATAAATATAATTTCTTGTATGTTTTTTTTTTTTTGATGAGGGGCAGCAATAGGGAATGAAAATATAAGCCCAAACATAATTTTTCTAACATATAAAACAATTTCAACATGTATTCCAACAACCGGGGGAATAAAGGAAGCAAGATAAGCCCCAAATGTAACTTTCCAACACAAAAAACGAATTCAGTATGTGTTCCAGCAACGGGGGCAGCCAAAAGAAGCAAAGGTAAGCCCCTAATATAATTTCCAGCATTTTAAAAAAAAATTCAGCATATGTTCCAACGACGGGAGCAGCAAATGAAGCAAAGATAGGCCCCAAACATGCCTTATTTTCACTTAATCTAACATGTATTCATGCTTAAATTTCAAGCTAAACAAAGTTATGCTTTCCCTATTCCATGCCATCTGAAATAGTGCAATATAAAAGATAGGAAGAAGAATACCTTTTCCTTTTTTGTAAACATAAAACAAAGAAAGAGTGAAGTAAACTTGAGAAAATCACTCCAATAGCGACTCACGAAAATTCCTCATGATTTTCAACTTACGGCAAGACAAATTCGAATCTCCGGGATCTTCGAACAACAAAGGAACAAAGCTTCCTTTCCAACAGGGAAAACAGAAAAGAAATCACCCTAATCGAATGAAGAATAGACGTAGAAAAGCACCCGAATCTCCCTAAAAATTTCTCAAGCAAGAACCCTCTCAAAATTTCAAACACCCCCAAAGCCACAGAAGATGAGAAGAAAAGGTAAGAATGAATTTAGAAGAGATTTTGACAGCACCTCCCCACTCTCAGAAATTTCGGCCAGCCCTAAAACTCTTCCCCTAGTGAGGTTTTTATAGCAAGAGAGGGAGGAGGAAGAATGCCATCCCTCACCTGGGCGGTGAGCCGAGCCAGGAGAAGCGACAAATCTCGCGTGAGGAGAGGACGAGAGAGGCGAAGTTTTGTTGCAGAGGAGCGTGGCACGGCGTGAAAGCTTTTGCCAGAGAACGGAGCACGAGGAGTGTACGATGGGGGGACCTCGAGCCAGCGCTTCACGTGAGGAGAACCAGGCTCGACTAGGGCACGCGACCGAGAGAGGGAGAGGCGGACGATTTATATATATATATATATATATCAAATTTCATGTGATTTAGTCGTGCGCGGTGCCCAAGCAAAATGGGTGTCCTCCTTAGGTAATTTCGACATTCTGGACGCACCGGCGCGAACTGTTTTTCCGTCAAAGGTCGTTTTGATGAATTCATCGATTTGCGTGACAATTTTTTCGTGCCGAAAATATGGCAATATGGGTCTCTTCCTTCCAAAATTGGTGTATCAGACGCGTTGACGCAGTCCAATTTGTCGTCGGAGGTCATCCGGAGAAGTTCGCATTTTCGTCCGTCCTCTGGGCTTAATTGAAGTCCGATTTCGTGCATTTTTGTGAATTTTTTTGCATTTGATGTGTGTATGTGACGAAAAATTCGTGACTATGTTTTCCTAAGGCTTGGAGTCCTATTAGGAACTTTTCCCTTGAGTCTTCACAAAATAGCCTATAACCTCTCGTTCATAAGACGATGGTCTGGTGTCATAAATGTTAGACATCAAAAAAAAATAGGAAGTAGTTATAATTTCAAAAAGGGCGGATCCCAATTCTAGTTTTCTAAGATGGTCAATAAGAATTCATAAAGCTAGATCCTAAGACCTTACGGAAAAAGAAATGACCTAAAAAATGAGGTCAACACCAAACTGATGTTTTTTCTGCTACCTTGTTATCACTAGGTTTATTTATGTTATGTGCTGGAACATCTAGTGATGATCGAGTGCTGCACGAAAATTCTAACTCGAAGAGCTTCTTCCGCTAACTCGAAAGAGTTTCATCCGCGTCTTCAAGACATTCCCTGTTTTGAAGGAAGAAGACGATATGATTCA